CTCTGCCCGTTCCTTCGGAATACAAAAAGTGTAACGATGTCCATTATTGGACTACAGGATGCTTACTCTTGAAACTAATCTCAATGTCAATGCAATTTGAATCCAATAAAATCACAATAATTATTCAATGTCAACTCTATACAAACCCTATCGTAGCTGTCAGTCGCGGAGAACCTAACGGGTAACCGGGGCTCCGGCTCGACGTGCAGGAGAAGGAACGGGGTGGTTTTTAGTCAGTAAGAGTCTGACACTCCCTCCCGCCTCACCCAGGCGGGAGCAGTCATTCGATGATTTTCCCCCCTTAAAAAAAAAAAAAAAATCGTAGCTGTCAAAATAGCATTCAGAGTATGGAATATAAAGCCAAACTCAATACCATTTACTTCATTCAATATCCACGCAATACGATGGCAATGGGCGCTAGTGTTGTAACTCAAGAGTACGAAATTTCACAAAACCAATGTCGATCGATTGGAATTGGATTCAAGAGTAAGCCCCATGGTCTCCACCAAATAACAGGGGTTTTTCATAATGTCCAATCTCTACGCTTGACAGATGGGTTGGAGATCAGGTTTAGAGAGCACCTTTAAAAGAGCACAAGCCCATCGTCGTAACGATAGCCGCGGGACAAGTCTGGGTGCTGACAAATGTATTCTACTCTTCAACCATTAAATTCTAGTTAAAACAGAATGTCACGGTCATAAGATACTAAACAATGCATCTGATTCATAATAGGGAGTGGGGGAGTTGCCCCCGTCCCCCCTCTCAGGGAGGAAGGGGGTGAACCTCCCTCCATATGACTAGGCTTACTAAAGGTTAAATTAAATGATAAAACATTACTCATGGTATGGATTTGTAGCCGTTATTATAACGCGAAAAATGATAGGAAACTGCTGTAGTCAATTATCCTCGAAACAGTTAACTAATTAATTTGATTTGGTAAAATCGACTTTATATAGAAAGTGATAAAGATATTCTTTTGTAAATTGTAATTACATCTCGAAATACCTATGTTGGTTGTTTTTTTTTTTTTTTTTTTTTTTTTTATTAAATACTACAATCTGTCTCCTTCGTGGGACATTCAGAAGTATATCGGTTTGTGCTAACGCAGACTCGCTCAGTATGTGGCCTGTGCCACATCTTCATTATTTAAACAGTAGTTATAATTACTGTGGTTGGATTAGGTCTTGAGGTATTTTGCGCTTTAATCGTCGCGCTTTGTTGTGATTGTCCATTAGTGACCGAGCCAGAGTATTTGGGTGTTGTTGGATTCTTTCATTATAGCACTTGGTATGGTGTATGATTTCCTGCTTTACAGTGGGCATTCGTAGGTCATGGTGAAGCAGCTCATTGGGTACAAACCAGGGTGCGTTGGTTATCATACGCAGAGCTTTATTTTGAAACCTCTGTATAATTTCTATATTTGAGTGAGATGCGGTGCCCCACAATTGGATCCCGTATGTCCAGATGGGCTTTAATATTGCCTTGTACAACAGTATTTTGTTGTCGAGAGACAGCTGAGACTTTTGCCCTATGAGCCAGTAAAGTTTTCGTGTTTGGATACCAAGTTGCTTCCTCTTAGTGAAAATATGTTTTTGCCAGGTAAGTCTTTTGTCCAGATGCAATCCAAGATATCTCACATGATCTGCTTGTGGGATTTCAATGTTGTTTAGTGTGACTGGGGGGCAGGATCCTCTTCTCAAAGTAAAAGTAATATTGACTGATTTGGTTTCGTTGGCTTTTAACCGCCATTTTTTAAGCCAGTCAGATATGACATTCAGTCCTTCTTGGAGTATTTGTGAGGCAATTTTTGGATCACTATGAGCAGCTAGTACGGCGGTGTCGTCGGCAAAGGTTCCAGTAGTTAGCAATTCGGATGTCGGCAAGTCTGCAGTGAACAGTAAGTAGAGTAAACTAGTACTTTTGTAAATTGTAATTACATCTCGAAATACCTATGTTGGTTAAACTTTTTTTTTTTAATAGGGGAAAATCGTCGAATGGCTGCCCCCCCTAGGTGAGGCGGGAGGGAGTGTCAGACTCTTACTGACTAAAAACCACCCCGTTCCTTTACTTGCACGTCGAGCCGGAGCCCCGGTTACCCGTTAGGTTTTCCGCAACTCCGAATCGGCATCGGCCCTGTTGGGCCCCATGTGTGCGGTGGTCTGATGGCTCTTTGAGGCGCGCGCGGAACGCGACGCGCCGTACGCTCGGGTCTATGTTGGTAAACTATAAATTCGTAATCGTAATATAGACTGTAAGACAAAGTGATTTAGAAGATTTTTGTATGTTACATTTTGTTGGGAAATTAATATTGCAGTTTGGCTGATATTAGGCCTGTAAAATCTTATTTTGGTAGGTATATTTCTATTTTATGGTATGGGTTTTAATACTGTTTAACTCATACACAATCACCTGATATAAATCCCTCAAATTTTTTCATACTAAAGTATTCTCTAAACATATGAAATAAGGTCTACAATGTAGTTAGTAGAGAGTGGACACCATTGACCGCTATGGGATTGATCAGCTAAAATACAAGGTTCATCTTCCTATAACTTTAACAGAAATTAACTGTCTTGTCTAAAGTGACTGCACGGTTGGTGCGGTGGCTGGGCAACCGGCTACCGTGCGCAGTGTCGGTTTGATTCCCTAACGAAGGAACTCTTTGTGTGATGCACAAATTATTGTTCCGGGTCTGGGTGTCATTGTGTATGTGAACTTGTATGTTTGTAAACGCACCCACGACACAGGAGAAAATCCTAGTGTGGGGCAATGTTAAAAAAAGAGTGCGACTGTCAAGCGAGCAAAATAAATAAAAGTTTTGGTTTACAGTTTTCAATATAATACATACAGTCTACAGAGAATTAAACTGTCAAACACCAAGCGGTCACCGGTGACCGGAACCTATTGTTCTATAATTGTGTCTACAAAACCGGTACTCGACGAGCTAAACAACTTATTTCTCTACAAAAACAATACCGTTATCAATAATTCAGCAATTTTACAGACAGCAAATAATTATTTCAGCGTTACAGTAACCTTCAGTTACAGGGCCATGAACACTCGTTCAGATTGTGTACAAATTAATTTTAATTAACACATGTTTAATATGGTTAACGATGAATAGTGATAATGATAAATTACATCACATGACGTTTAACAAACTGTGTACACAATTTCTATCATTTATTTTATTTTTATGGGAAAAACCGGCCATTGCATAGCCATTGGCGTCGCCTATGGACACCTGGAACACCAGAGGCCTTACAAGTGCTTTACTGACCTTAACTCGTCGAGTACCGGTTTTGTAGACACAATTATAGAACAATAGGTTGCGATCACCGGTGACTGCTTGGTGTTTGACAGTTTAAATATTATAGATGCGAAAGCCTGTAAGTTTGTGTATATGTTTGTTACTCAGTCATGTCAAAATGGCTCAAAGGATCGATATCTTGGAACAGGGATAGATTATAGTCGGGGATAACACAAAGGGTACTTTGTATTCCATGGGAATGTGGGTGAATCTACTGGCAGAAATTACTACAGATACATAATATCGTCAGGACTACCTCACATTGGGGTATGCAGAGACAATAGAACACTCAAATGCCATGATTCTGACAATCCTCTTTTACTATGTCTACTTTCATTCATTCTCTTTGTGTTGGCCTGTTGTTTCGCAAATCTTATTAATCTATAAGATTATTATTATATTGTAAGGAGGATGGTTGACACTTCAGGTGATCGAAGGGCTGGCTACTACCTTGGGCAAAGGTTAAGCATTGCCTATCAACGTGGCAATGCTGCCAGTATTTTGGGCACCCTACCTCATGATAGCAACGAGGAAAATTTTTTTTTTGGTGCCTTCAGCTTATGATAACATTCTTATTATTTTATTAAGCTAAAAATATTTTAGTTTTATTGTAAGTTGTATATATTTAAAAAAGTAGAATACATTTTGACACCACCCTTCCCATCCCATACATGTTTTACAGTCAACTAAGGAATGACATATTTGCTTCACCCGTGGTATACCGCAATGCATATCTACGCGAAATATAATGTATGTTCCATTGTGTCTTATATACGGCATTCAAATGGTTAATACTGGGCAACGGGGTTCCCTAATAAATCTGACTTCTGACCCTTTCATACTGCAATCTTTAGTCTGCCTGAATGTGAAGGCTTTGACAAATTTTTCTTTATATATAGGCTGACAGTTCATCAATAGACTGTTGGTAGGATTGTCAAACGGTAGATATTGTGGTAATCTAGCATTTTGTTATATTTGATGGGTCAGTGTTTCGCCACTTCTCGCCTGGTAAGCAATGATGGAGCATGTAATTTGATGAAATATATAAGTTTGGCTTTTGAGAAAGAACTTCATACCTATGATACAAAAGTATAAAGTAGTTCAGTTACTGTTTTAACTGTAACAAAAAGCTTCTTGTAGCAAAGTTGTTTTTTGCAATAGTACCTATCTTTAAAAACTATTTTTTTATTTTGATTATTGTGTTGTAAATATTTAAGCCATATTTTTAACACATCTTATTGTTTACATTAACTATTTAATTTAAAACAGCTATTTATCGGTAAATATTTTGGTAAAATTAAGCCTAAAAACAGCCTGCTAGATAACAAACATAGACAATAATTTTATTTTTGACAGCATTAAAAAAAACACCACGAAATTATGAGCGTCTATGCATCTTTGTGCAGCTTCTATCGCCAAATATTATGCATTTTGTCTCTTTACATCGTAGTCCGACAATTTAATAGACACTTGGGTAGTAAATTAATAAAAAATGACGTGTTTTCAGCAGCAAACACATAAAAATAATTCTGAAAATCAGTCTGCCTTTGTCACCGCGCTATGCGAAGTTTCGCATGTAAACATAAGCGTATTTTAGGGTAAATTGCAATTTTAATGCATCTACATTGCAACCCACGTAGGTACAAGTCCTACCGTCGCTAAAATGTATAAAATAAAAGTAAAAACTTACGCAATTTGTTCGTTTTCATAAATGTTATTCATTAAAATCGGAGTCACTGACGTTATATATAGATCGAAAACGTAGTCGAAAATAGATAAAGTTATACACCATACACACTGCTTGTAATAAATTCACATTAATATCGGAATGTAAAACAAAACAAGATATATAATTAACAAAACGCACCGCACGGAAATTCAGTGGGAAACAGCGAAAATTGTCGATTTTCCTTTTAGTTTTTCGATCACCATGGTACACTGCAGTTTTAACGTCCACTAATACATTGTCCACGTTATTTTATTTAACAGAATCGTTCGTTGAAATGAGGCGCTCATGCCCAAATACACCACGTCCTTATATTTTCACAAATTCACCTCGTTTTTACGATATCACAAAATAAAATGATGTGTGAATGACATGAAATTTTGACATGCGCACTCCATTGTGCTAAGCTAGCGGCATCTATCCACATACACCATTTTATTTAACTGAGCATACAGTAGAAAAAACGCCCCTACTCGACAATAGATGACGCTGTCATTATTTCAAGTTTTCATCACGAGATGGCAGTCACTTTAAGAAAAAAAAGAATTCATTTGAATTTCAAATCAACCACTCTCCAGTCACATCAATTAATTAACAATTACAACTGCTATAAGAACAGTTCAATGTCAATCTCCCAGTTACATCACATCGCATCAATTAATAATATTCTAGTAGGTAGGTAACACATTAACATTCACAAAAATATCATTAAATCTTTATTTAATCCGTTGATTTCAAGTTTTGGTGTATAAAACTAGTTTACGAGGTAAAATAGAATACATTTTGTTGGTTTTTTAGGGTTAAATGAGCGTGTGGTTTGTACAAAATGTTTGTGTGACAGAGCGGCCTCACGTATCGACATGGCGAATCAAAGACGCATATTTGTCCCAAAAATACGAATGACCGAAGAACGCGTGGTCGGAAACGTAGAGGCAATAAATGTGGATGTGGCATTTTAGACGATTAATAGGGTAGTTGCCTAAATTTTATTTTAATGTCCGTCTGGTACATTAATTTAAAACTTTAGACACGTATTTTTCCTTTTCTCACAAAATTAAATACTTTCGACGATATAATAATCTGAAATATCGTGTGACGTCACTTCATACATTCAGTTAAAAAGTATCGGGAATGGATGATTTGTTTATTGTTCCAAATTCAAATTTTTGTTTTTTGGAAGTTGTTAGATTGGCACAACTGTTTTTCATTCCATTTTGGCGCGGAGTTTGAGTTGCATCTGTTATTCATAATCAATACAGTGTTGGTTTTAGTAAAATCATATTATAGTGTGTATTGCGAATTTCCTATTAAACAAAAATATCAAAGAGTTTGTCTTAAATTTTGCATCGCAAATGGAAATTTGTGTTCGGAGTCACTGAAAATGTTACAGAAGGCTTACGGTGAATTGACTTTAGCAAAAACTCGTGAGTATGAGTGGTTCAAAGCGTTCAAAAGCAGTCGAGATGTGATGGAAGATTTGCCTCGCTCTGGTAGGCCGTCAACATTTGCAACTGAAGTTAACATCACAATAGTGCCTAAAAATCTCCATTCAACTCTGAGAGAGATAGCCGATAAGTATTGTAACTTTATACGAGAAAATAAAAAATACGTGTCTAATATTTTTTCATTATCTGACTGACTGACTAATTAATTACGTTTTTAATTTTCATTCCCACTCGTCGAGTACCGTCATTATAGATACAATTGTAGAACAATAGGTTGCGGTCACCGATGACCACTCGGTGTTTGACAGTTTAAGTAGTTCCAAACTCACAGCCTACATATCACTTTATATCAAACACAAACGGCCTTTACCGGTGTTTTAAACCCAAAACCCATTGGTTTTGGGTTTTCCCGCGCCAAAGTGAAGATTCACTTTGGGTTAGAGATCGTGTTTAATAAGTTCAGATTATAATAATAGGTAGGTACATATTTCTATATTAATAATTTTGTCAAGGGTACGGTAGACTCGATCGAAACATTACCTGAATAACAAAACATAAAAAAATATCGATTTCGAGTCGACAACATAATTTATTATGTATATCCGCAAAATTCGAATTACGGAGATTATTTTTTATTACGTTTTATTAATTCATTTTAAAATTAATGACACTGTCAGAAACCGCAGTCGCCATCTTGAGTAGACAATAAAAGTTCCGTTTCATGCTAGCTTTCAAATACGCCTCGTGAATCGACACGTTGTTGCGTTAAAAAAGTATAAATTAACAAGAAATATGAATAATTTCACGCGAAAGAGATCGCGGGTAACAGCTAGTATGTATATACTTTAACATAATTATTTTATTAATAACGTTTGTAAAAACCGCCTTCAACCCCCTATTTTTTAAATCGGTTAATACTAAAACCTTCTCTTAAGTGTAACGAACACTTGTCTGATAACCGCGTCAAAATCGGTTCTACCAATCGCAAGATACCTACACATCAAACTGAGAACATACAACAACTGACAACACATATTGTTCTTTTTAAAGTCGGTTAAAATTATGCAGCCTCTTTCGACATTGGGCAGGGTGCTACCTGAAAACCAGCGTTGGGCAGGAATGCTCAACTATATGCTGAGATGGAAGCCTTTTTGGCATGTGTACACGCACCACAATATTACATATTTACTTATATATTATTTATATTTTGTTTTTCTTTTGTATATTTATTTTCTCTTTATATCAAAAACTTATTGTATTGTTTCGTATTGTATGTACATTATTTTGTTATATTTTAATGATTTTTGTTCTTTTCTTTACGCTTTTAAGTTTGTTATTAATATTATTATGTATTTATGTAAGTATCTGTTATTTTTATTTTTCATAATCTTTATGTTTGTGTGCCATTTGCCAAATAAATGCTTTTTCTTTCTTTCTTTCTTTACATTATAGTAACAATGGCTCTGTCGTTCACCACACGGTACGCAACTAACGCATCCAAATTTTCCTACATCTAAGCGACCAGGCCTGATCTAAGTCGTTAGTTCTAAGAAGCGGTCCAGGTAGACTGACGTCATACATACCTAACATACATACATACAATGTACATACAAACACACAGCTTGAAGAATGCAGTATTATTATCTCTGATTCTAAAGGGATTGGCTCTTTACGGTCATTCAAAATTAGGTAGGTATATGACTGAATCCCTCTTTCGTTTTTTTTCTTCTTTTTTATGAACGTTGCCCTACACTAGGATTTTCATCAAACCATCAAGGATGGGGCTCAATAGGGCTGATGCCGATACGGAGCCGTGGAAGACTTAACGGGTTACCGGGGCTCCGGCTCGAAGTGCAGGTGTAGGAACGGAGTGGTTTTTAGTCAGTAAGAGTCTGACACTCCCTCCCGCCTCATTAAGAAGAAGCCATTCGATGATTTTCTCCCCTTAAAAAAAAACAAGAATTTTCTCCTGTGTCGTGTGTGCGTTCTCCTGTGTCACATACACATGACACCCAGACCAAAAACGACAATTTGGAGTGCAGTAATCGGGTAATCGAACCCCGCTAAACGTTGCGCGGCAGCCGGTTGTCTAGCCACCGCGCCAATCGTACAGTCAAAGTTAGGTTAGACATTTAGTTTTATTATCTAGTTGGTTAATATGTTATTTGATATTTTCTTTAAGTCTGTCTCGTTGGCAGAGTTGTCCAAAGTTCGACAGCTGAGCAAAGGGTATCTGGCTCAATTCTCGATTTTTCTAAATGTGTGTACGGGTAAGTTAAGTGCTCCTGGACTACAGGACCTCTCTACTTACATGAGAGCGTTAACAATATTCCAATAAAGTCCGTACAGGTTCATTAAGAGGTTGGAAATGGTAATTAATCGAATGGTAACAAATACTATGGTAATAAAACCTTTAAGTACATAAATATATGTCGCAGAATCAACAAAGATGCACAGCTATCGAGTATCGTTATTTTAGAACAACGCCATCTGTTATCATTTGTCGGAAACGTCAAGCAGTTTGCTTGGGTGATGGTCGGTACGGGGCGTGGCATGTTGGTATTTGAAAAGCGTCACTTTTGAGTTGGACACGAGGGTGAGCGGTTGTTCTGCCAGCCCGTACCGAACTTACCGCGTTTACGAAGAATCCAATGACGAAGTTCCCCCAATGGGTGCATTTTCTCCGACATATACATTTACATACACACATCAACAGCCTTTATATGCTCACTGCTGACCAAAGGCCTCTTCTCACACGGAGAAGATTTGAGCATTAATAGCCACCCTTGCTCAATGCGAGTTGGCGATTTCAAACTTATAATTAGAAATTATAAGCCCAGGGTGCTTACTCTTGAAACCAATCTCAATGTCAATGCAATTTCAATCCAATAAAATCTCAATAAGTATGCAATGTCAAAACTATACAACCCCAATCGTAGCTGCTAAAGTAGCATTTAGAGTAGGTACGGAATATAAAACCAAACTTAATACCATTTAGTTCATTCAATATTTCATTCAGTATTGCGTGATACGGATGCAATGGGCGCTAGTGTTACAACTCAAGAGTACGAAATTTCACAATGTCAATGTCGATCGATCGGTATTGGATTCAAGAGTAAGCACCCAGGTCTCCTCACGATGTTTTCCTTCACCGTTTGCCAGTGGTGTCTAAATAATCGTAGAAAGTACATATAACTCGGAAAAAGTCACATTGGTACTTGCCGTTGGTAGGTTTCGTTTCGAACTCGTACCCTCATGTATGAGAGGTAGGCGTCTTAGATATCCGAGCCACCACGACATTTACATTACGAACAAAGAATTCATCTTTCTTTAGATGACCAGTGACATATGACATTACTTCAGCAGTTTTGGCGCTCTCATCTATAATATTTAATCTTTTTGGCCTCTCATCAAAAAGTTAGCTCACCACGATCTTTAAAACTAAGATTTCAACAAAACGGCATCAAGTCAAACTAAACAAAGCTCGCCTCGGAGGAACTTTTAAAAACCAGCGTACTATGATCTCGCTTTGTATGATTCTTCGACTCATTCGTCGGTCAGTTTATACTGGACATACACATCGAGTTATAAGAATCCAGTATATTATGATCTTGCTTGTTAAAATATTTCCGCACTTTCTACGGTCAGCTTACACTGGTTTGCATTGCTTGATGAGTACCCGTACATAATATGGTACCAATTTAGTATTCTGCTGGTGACACGGCCCGAGGTTTGAAGATGTAGTGTAACAGCTGTTACTGGCTATGTTATATGCATGAGATGTCCCGGATGTTGTAGGCTAAGAGCTAGAGTACACTTGTTTTGTATCATCTTGTAACGTGTTATTCAATTCTGTACCTACATTAAAAGTATTAAAAAAATTGATACCTAGTGTTGCTAGATGTCGCGGAGAACCTAACGGGTAACC